GGCACCAGGGAATAGCTCACCTTGCCGTTGGCTCCCGCGTCCGCGTCCGTTGCCTTCACGGCGCCGACGTGCAGCGCGGGGACGTTGTTCTCGTGCACGTACATGGTGTACGACGTCTGGTTGAAGACGGGGGCGTTGTCGTTGACGTCCGAGATGTCCACGCTGAACGTGTGGCTGCTGCTCAGAGGAGGAGACCCTGCATCTGCTGCCCTGACAACCACCGTCTGCTGGGCTCTCTCCTCCCGGTCCAACGTGCCCACGGTCACCAGCTCGTAGTAGTTCTTGAAGGCTGGCCGGAGCGAGAAGGAGAGCTGCTCTTCCAGGGCACAGCTGACCTGCCCATTCACACCGGAATCCTTGTCTGTGACAGCAAACAGTGCGACCACTGTCCCAGGTGCTGCATTCTCAGGGATAGGGTTGCTGAAGGAACTGACCACGATCTCTGGTGCATTGTCGTTCACATCCACCACCTCGAGAATCACCTTACACAGTGCTGACAGTCCTCCACCATCCACTGCCCGCACGCTGAGCTCGTGTTTCCGTGCAACCTCGAAATCCAAAGGCTTTGTGATACGGATTTTACCACTACTGGGGTCAAGGATGAATGCTGACTGGCTCTCGACCACTGCATGGCTGAAATGATAGGAAATGTCACCATTCACTCCCACATCTGCATCCGTGGCTATCACTCTGAGGACTACAGAGCCTTCAGGGGCATTTTCCAAAATCTGTGCATTGTACAGCTTCTGTGTGAAGATGGGAGCATTGTCATTTACATCCAGAACTATGATGTGGATTTGGGTGGAACCACTTCTCGGTGGAGAGCCACCATCCGTGGCAACGAGAGTGAAATATATCTCTGGTTGTTCCTCTCTGTCTAGAGGCTTTTGTAAAACCAGTTCAAGAACATTATCACTTTCATCATGAGTCTTATAGGAGACAGTGAAGAACTCGTTCTCTGGAACGATGCTGTAAGCCTGGATGTCATTGCTGCCAATGTCCAGGTCTCGAGCAGCCTCCACAGGGAAACGGGATCCAGCTTCAGTCAATTCCGGGATCCTAAATTTCACCCGTTCGTCCGGGAAGAGCGGTGAGTGGTCGTTGATGTCCTCCACCGACACCTCAATGGGAAAGAACTGCAGCGGGTCGGCGAGCAGCAGCTC